TAACACGTTTCTCCTCCATTCGCCCTTTCGGTATCCAAAATTTGCGCCTCATTTCCAAAAGAACATGCGCTGTTTTGACGTGAAATAGCTTTTTATGTTACTGTCGTATCAAAAGTTCGGTAACCGCATTATGCCTCGGTAAATACATTGGATGTTTGCTTTCCTCGTCTAGTTCCGAATTTTCCAATCGATCCCGTGATCTTCATAGCTTTCTGTCATTGCAGTACAAATTGCATTTTTCCTTTTCTTCCTCTTGAGTCCTTCTGTTTGCGCTTCTAATTAGCATCCATTTGGCTAATTTAAGTCCTGCGACGTTAGTCGCTTCACTTCTACCGATATCGGTTATATCCATGCTATCTTACCTTTTGTTGTAAATTTCATAAATTTGAGAGCCCAAATAGTGGTTCTTACAAGTTTGGACGACTTGTTGAACCGACTTCCACCTATAAGCGAAAATTGTGTTACCTCGACTGTTTGAGAGGCGACCTTTGCAATGATTCGTTGTTCCTCTTTAAATTCTTCTGGGACTGGTATTCCCATTGGAGCCATCCGCTTTCGGGACTCGTTAACCACGACGGTCCTTCCCACCATAGCTTGTATTGCCTAAGCTTTACGGAAGAAAGTCCTTTAGTCACAATATCGACTGGATTATCTTCACTTGGTACATATCGAAATGAAAAATTTACCTTTCGTATTTCTTCTACTCGGTTTTGTATGAATTTGGGTAGTAATTTCGATCGACTTTGTATCCAGTGTAATGCACATTTCGAATCCGACCATAACACCACTGGGATTTTTCCCATACTCAATTGCTTTATAACAAAGTTGGCGGCTCGTACACCAGTAAGTATGTATAAAGTTGGCGATCTCTTACAAAAAAAAGAGATCATCAACTTTGTAAGAGATCGCTAACTTTGTTATAAAGCAATTGAGTATGGGAAAAGGTATGATCATACCTTTAATTGGAGCGAGTTTTGATTTGGCGAAAAGTATTGCGCTATTTCTTTCGTCGACATGTTTGTTTAAAATGTATACAGCTGCTGAATACGCAACACTTGATACGTCCGTGAAGACATGGACTTGTTAATATAAGAGCTTCTTTGTAGCTAACCTTGGTATCTCAATAATGTCTGCGAGCCATTCCTTTGTAAGAGATCGCCATGCTTCTTTATCATCTTCATCGAGGATTTGATCCCAAGAATTATTTCTTCTCCATAAGTTTTGGAGGAATAGTTTGAACTGGATCATTGCAGGGACTAAAAATCCCAAAGAATCATATTGCGAAGCAACGGATTGCAAGACACTTCGTTTGGTGAGTTCATGTTCGATCCATGGTTTTAGCGTTGCTTTGATTGTATCTTTATCGTTTATCCAAGTGATGCCAAGAATTTTTGTTGCACCTCCTTCGATTCTGTCTTGTTTCGGTATTGCCTTATGAAGTTTTGGTCATTGGATAGAAATTCGCGAATATTCATCGCCTCTTCGTGAAGATATCCTTCATTTCGTGATATTTATTTATGGCTTCCCTTGTTCCATTTGGTGACAATATAACGTTATCCATATATAAATTCCTCCTGATCTCTAGCGCTGTCTGGCTTTCGATTGTTTCCAGATGATGATTGAGTGTTACTGCTAGCATAAACGGTGATGATACTACTCCAAAAGGAACTCTTCTAAAACGATGACATTTCAGGTTTTCCTCGGTAAGCGCAAATTTGATATCATCTATCCAGAGGAATCTGGTACAGTTCCTATTGGACTGATGCAGTTCCAATTGTAAAAACGCCTTCTCGACGTCGGCTGTGATTACACTTTCCATCATTCGAAACCACAATAGTATTCCTACTAAATCTGGAAGCATGATAGGTCCGCGATATAGGACTTCGTTTAAACTTTTTGTTCCCTTGAGATGCGCCGAAGCATCTTGGACTATTCTGAGTTTCGTTATAGGTTTGTGCGGGGATATTACCTCATGATGAGGTCTACTTTCGATAATAATTTCAATGCTGGAATGCTCCAAATACTCACCCATTGCTTCCAGTTGTCGAAGTATTCTTTCCATAGTTTCGACGGTTGTTTTCCATTCTCGATCATGTCCTTTGATGGAGTACAACTCGTTGTACAAAGACTTTTTTATGGTAGATAAATTTCCAACTTTCTCGACCAAAACTTTTCTTATGACGCCGTAGTTTTCTGGAGCAATATCATAGCCCTTGACAGCTTATAGAGCATTTCCTTTGAGGCAGGAGATCAGGTGATTCAATTTTTGAATATCGGGTATTTTTTGAAGATGCACTGTGGCATCAAAACTACCCCAGAATTCTCTCCATTATTTCGGGTCACCACTGAATATTGGTAGTGGTAACTGTAGCAAATTTACTGTCTGCTGAGACGTTTGGGAGAGCTCCTTCTGTTGAAATGGTTCGTTATTTATCTTGCTTTGCTGTAGGCGCTGTGCCACTAGCTCACACTCATCTTTGTGCATATCTAAAGTTATAATAGCTTTTTAATCGTCATTTATTAAATTTAAAAGACCTTTATTATCGTTGACCATATCTGCTTATTTGTTTTCTTCCTTTCTTTTCTGCGCACTCTTTTGTTTTTGGATATACTCCAACCACTTTTTGTTGGTTGATCCGGGTGTAGCAACATAGAGTTTTAGACGCCTTATTTTTTCTTCTATAGTCCTCCTCTTGAGTTCGAATTGCTGTTGTTTTTCCTCCACCGCTAAATGCTGATCAGGAGGCGTTAGGTCCATTGCTTTTACTTCGTCGAGAAGATCCTCTAACTTTTGCTTTGCCGGTTGAGCACTTTTGATTATAGTGTCCGACATTCCCGGCTCGTGACACCAAAAAATTTGTTGGGAAATTGTCTTCCTGTTGAACTCGTTTCTCGGCGATACAGATTTATTCGGAAGGTAATACTGTTCTTGCACAATATTACTAGTTAACAACAGGAAGAAAGATATAAAATATGTGTGTATATAACACGATGAATTGATAAGCAATGATAAATGAATTATACAAAAAGCAAGTAATTTGATCAACTAACAAACTCCTTGTCGTTGCCTTGGACAATAATTTGACTGTCGGTTTAGTTGATAGGTCGTTGAGTTGAGAATACGTTACGGGAAATGTATTTAGTGAATAGAAGAATATCGTAGTTTGTTGTCCAATGGTGGCGGATATGCGAAGATATCGTTGGTTGTAGGTTAGTCGCGGAGGATAAGCGATGAGGATGTATCGTCTGCTCGATTGTAAAAACTGAACTCAACTGTATCTCGAGATTTTTTTCATATATATATATATATATATATATATATATATATATATATATATATATATATATATATATATATATATATATATATATATATATATATATATATATAGTAGTAGTAGTAGT